CTTATTTCAAATTACCGACTCACACTTTTCTCATCCTAATTTTACAAGTTGAAAGTTACAAAACAACACACGCACAGCACTGACTGACTCTGATAACGGCCGGGTGTTCTCCGAGTCTGATTGACTCGGGTATTACACACAATGTTAAACAGACCCGGGACCCGAAGTAATAGATTGGGACCCAACCCGGACCCGGCTGACCATTTAAAATATAGCCCCGAACCCATACGGATCCCGGGTCGGGTCCCGGGTCCCGGGTCCTCAGGTCTCGGGTCCTCCATGTAGACCTCTACCACAGACGCATTAGGCTACTGGTTCAGGAAACAGTCCTCATCCATCCTCCATAAAATTGCGCTGCACACATCTGAATGTTTAGGTTGAACTGTTCTGGAACAGTGTTGTAAATACAACTTAACCACTGATTTCTAGTCGTGTCCTCTTTTGGAAGACCAAACAGTAGTTTCGCTTTCACAACGAAACACACAGCGACTACACAACATGGCAGCGGCGGCAACAGCGAGAATAAAAGTTACGCCTTCTTTCTTTGCGTGAACATTTGGGTGGCGTTATGCAAATCTTCCCACATAGTGACGCAGACATGTGGGGGCATGTTAGAACGAGCCGTTTTACTTTTATAAAGATTATCTTTGGATTTGAGACTTTAGTCTTTGCAACTTTACAGATCTTCTTTATGCACCAAGAGCTTGTAACACTCCAAAGAGAAAGGAAAAATTGAAATCGCATCATATGACCCCTTTAAGGGGTTTACATGTCTATTCTGCACTTCAGTAATGCGACTAAAATAGGAATACTCCACATGTCTTAATTCGATTTCTGTTTACTTCGATTATGACTTTAGCTGGATTAAGGTAATCAAAAATCTCTGTTTACATGGTAGATTCTTAATCAGAGTATTGTCTTAATCGTATTAAAATCTGAGTATTGTTGTCCATGTAAACGTACTCATTGACAGAGAGCATTTCTGAGTGGCTAGTTTTCCATAATCGCATTTTATGTGCAGTATTACACCAAAATTGCTTAAACCTTTACTTTTTTTAAGCATTTAGTTCTGATTGAAATAGTATCATTACATTGGCTGACATGTTTCTCTCTTTATCAAGATTTGCTCGATACTACAATGATGCAGCAGGTCAACCCTACCGGAATCTATTTAAAGTGTATGGCATTCGGTTTGATATATTAGTTAATGGAAAGGTAAGAGATAATAAACACTTTATTTTGAATTCTTAGAGATTCCTATCATTACAGTCATGGTGAAATAGTAAAAATATGGTGTTTATCTGTTTTCTAGGCTGGGAGATTCAGTATCATTCCTACAGTGATCAATATTGGCTCTGGACTTGCTTTAATGGGTGCTGTGAGTATATAAGCTAATTACAGGTGTCACTAATAGTTGAAGTATAAAACACACAAAACAAAATCTTTCCGAGACTTGTGTGATTGGTGTTGATCTCATTCCACAGGGGGTTTTTGTCTGTGACATGATTCTGCTCTACATGATGAGCAAAAGCTCCTTCTACCGAGAGACAAAATTTGAGGCAGTCACGAAGTAAGTGTCTATTGTGTCGTAGACTTCTTAAAAAAGTTTGCTTGGAAGATTAGAAAGATGCAGTGGATTGTTATTTTCATGGTTTCTATGAATACTATTTGCACCCACAGAAAGAAATCTGGAAAGCACAGAGAGAGAAAGCATGTAAGACATCACGGTCATCATCGCCAAGATGGGCGACACAAGAGAGAGGAGAAACAGGCAACAGAGATGCAGCCATTGACACCAGTGTCATGTCAGCCCAATAACAACCCAGAGAGACAGATCCAGCCCACAGGCTCAGCACTCAAAACCCACAGTCCTGAGAGAAAGCCACAGGGCACAGTGTCATTCAGGACTCAGCACGCTACAGAAAAGCAGAAAAACATTTCACCTGTTTCCACCCTGAGAACACCACGCAACCAATAGAGGATTTTTTGATGCTGAATCCCATTGGATTTACTGTGGATGTATGAAAGGTATTATAGCGGGTCTATGCTCAGTCATACCAAAGAGGAATACTGCCAGCGATGTAGTGCTCTCCTAGTGTTTTAAATAGCAATGGAATTATTATTATTTTTTTTTTACAAAGGATTTGCAATAAGATAACTAAATTATTTATTATAAATTTGGCCTGACACCAAAAATTGTCAAACCAAGGTTGAATAAATGTTAAAATATTTTACGAAAAATGCTTGGGTCACTGCATTCCTTTCATTTTGAGTAAATGTGAAAACAGTACAATCTTAAAAAAAAAATTTAAATGATCTACACTACCATTAAACAGTTTGGGGTCAGTAAGTTTTTTTTTTTAATTGTTCAGCAAGAATGCATTAAATTGATCGGGTAGAAACATTTAGAATGTTACAAAAAGATATTTCAAATTAATGCGGTTCTTTTGAATTTTGTAAATTATAATGTGGACAAATTATTTTCAACATTAATAAGAAATATTTCTTGAGCATTAAATAAACAGTATGATTTCTGAAGGATCATGTGACACTGACGAATGGAGTAATGGCTGCTGAAAATATGGCTTAGCTATCACAGGAGTAAATTAAATTTTAAAATATATAAATAAAAATATTTTAATTGTAATATCTCAAAATATTACTGTTTTTACTGTATTTTTGCTAAAATAAATGCAGCCTTTGGTCAGTATTTCAGTAACATAAAAAAACTGTACCAATTCCAAACATTTGCACGGAACTGTAAATATCTATACTGGAATGCTTGCAATAACTGGACTACAAACTGATTCTTTAGAAAACTTGTTTTCACTACTGAGAGCGACACAATTGTGGGGTTTAAGCAGAGGACACATAAATATGACTGTACCCGTTCACAGTCTGAATAAAAAAAATCATCAAGCAGATTATTTGATTCAAATGACACTACAGAAATTCAAGGGTTATAATTCGTAAAACACCCTGGAGCTTGAGCACTTACATACTGAACACACTAACGATAGGCAGACTATTCACATGCAGTATACAATAAAATATTAAACATTTCAGGTGATAAAGGATGAGTAGCCTACTATAAATAATACCATGTACTTTAAGAAACCACACAATTTAATCCATGAGGTTAATGATTTATTTTCATCAAAATATCTGAAATAAAACAACGTGATTTATACTGTTAAAAGTTGGTATTGTGTTTTTACATAGTCCTGATTGATGCCTGGAGTTCACAAGAGTTGCACATCACACACAGAAAGCATTTCTGTTGGGCTGCTCTACTAAATCCAAACCCAGCCCTGCCCTGGAATAAGCATTAGGAAAATATTAAATCTCAAGAGGAAAGAATATGACAACACACCATTTTTAAATATCTAAATTTCAGTGCAATTAGTACTTAGAAAATATGTTACGTTTTATTGGCTAAACACAAGTAAGCTTACTGACAAAATCTGTGGTACATCAATCAGCACTCTCTGCCCTGAGGCATCTTCTCTAGCATCATACTGTTGTACATCTACACGGCTGCTGTACTGTCCGAGTTCCTTTAGTACACATGCACCATTCCGTAGAGGAAAGTCCAGAACAGCACGTAAGTGAAGAGGCCGCCCACCAGGCCCCCGGTGAAGAGCAGACGTCGAGATCTGAAGCACTTGTTCCATCGGCGGCCGGCTTTGAGAATCAGGAGCAAGGACAGCAGAAAAGAAGCAAGGAAATAAAACACAAAGCCGTAGAGTGCCGTTAGGCCGAGGATGCCCGCTGTGGCGCCGGAGAGAGCGGACACGGACGTGCGGCAGTAGTCGAGCACAGCGTTGTTTCCTCTGACGGCCACCTCGCCGATGAACTGCGATCCCTCGCGTTTAGCTGCGACTGTGGCCATGTTGTGATGTTAAAAACACGCTGAGAGACAAAGCAGAAGAGATGTGAAACACAGATCATCATATGAAGCCGGCTGAAACATCATACATTACTGACGATGCCCTCCTCCACTGACCGTTAGGATCAAGACAATGATAAACACAAATCAAGCTTCTGCCTCCGTGATTCAAGAAAGCATCGTTTACATTAAACACCCGAACATCACAAGCTACGTGTTTAAGTCTATATTTCTATGAGGAATGTATTAATTAGAAAAATACAGCGTGTGTCATTCTCGGTCAGCCATTTTCTCGCTAAGCATCATGGGACTTTGAATGAAAATCGAATTCTATTTTTTTTATTTAATCTTCATGACCAACTTGTACTTAAGTTAATATAATAATATATCTATTAATACACATTTGTGTGTATAATTCTGAGCAACATTACATTTTTAATATTTGCTTATTCTATTTACCTTTCATCCACTCTACGGGATCCGCGAAGGCTCAAAAAACGGTGGTCGAAAGTAAGAATCATTTGCAAGAATCGGTTCTTTTCAAACTGTTCACTTCAAAGAACCGATTGAACTCAGTAGTGATTCTTTTGTGTCAGGGCGTAATATTATATCATTGCATGTTTGCTGACATTTCATGTAACTGCCCAAATATCAGCTTTTTGTTTGTTTATATAAAACAAACTTTTTGTTTGCAGTTTGTTTTATATAATTATTCTGTATTATTATTGTTGGTTTTTATATTCTCTGAACTGTTAAATAATAACTGTTATTACTGAACTAAATACAACATATAATACTTTTTATTTTTCTTATTATTACGTCTTATAAACAGTGGCGGTTCTAGACCACAGTAACTGGGGGGGGGGGCCAGGCAGGGGCCACTTGCGCTTTTAGGGGGCACACTTTTAAAATTAATTTTAACCTACTTTCAGTATTATTCATTCAGTCATTTTTGACCATGTCATTTATCACTGCAATCTCTACAAGTAAGCTATAACAATTTAAACTCAAATGAATGTTTCATCATGTTTCATTTATCTGACAAATGATTTTGTATTGTAGTGTCAGTGGCGTCATGCTTGTCATGTGACACACAGCAGCCACAATAGCACTGTGTAACTGATATAGGCTTATGCTTTATTTTTTTTTTCTTTTATTCAAAATATTCCCAAACGTGTTAACTATATCATGAACTATCTCGATTCTCAAATATGTGTAAGTAAATGCATTTTGCACCTTTATAGATGATGTTAGTTGATCTATAATGGGCGATGAGCAAAGTAGCCTAATAGTGTAATCTATTAATTATGCAAAAAAACCCTCTTTTTACTTAAGTACCAGATATGGGTGTCATGCCATACAATATATATATATTTTTTATTACTTTATCTTTTTCCTGCTTTTTTCAAACAAATACAGAACAAAAGGATACACTCTAAAGAACAACCTATACACATAACAGACATATACATACAGTAGTCACCAAATATAACTTATACTACATTAATTCAGATTTTGATCAGATTCTGCCATACAAAGTTATGTTAAGGGTTACACATCTGACACAGTTTATGGATCAGGAGTCAAAATGATCTAAGGATCACTTATCTAAGGAGCTTCAAACTCATATAAATGGCAAAACAGAGAGAGAGAGTGAAGGAAATAAAAAAAACACATAGGTCATCTACTAAATCTTTTCTTTTCTTCTCAACCACCTCCCCCAGTATGATGAGATTTTGGTAGATTGTTGTCTTAAGGAAAGGGTCAGCACTTCCATACTGTAGACATCATGTACAATTTCTTGCCATTCACATACAGATGGGGGATCTTCCTTAAGCCATTTCCTTGTAATGGCCTTCTGGTTGCTAATAATATATTAAAGAGGTATATATCTTTCTTTGTTATTTTTGAAGAAGACAGTCCCAGGTACATTGTTCTAAAGTCACACTCAAGATTCAATCCCATTATTGCATTTATCTCTCTATTCAAATCCTGCCAGTAAGTACGAATGATATTACAGTCCCAGAAGATGTGAAAATGGTCAGCCGTTACATTTCCGCATTTTCTCCAGCATGAAGCTGTGGTTTAATGTAAATGTAGAACCGCTAACTTGCATTATAACCCGTGGCAACAGTGTAAAAGTAGCCCGGAGTCAGACGCACCTCTCCCGCAGCTCGCGGGCGCGAATTAACGATCACAAACAGCTGCATTCGAGTCTTCAAGGCATTTTAGGACACAACATCGTCAAGTAGGTAACTTTAACTAATGTTACAGTATTCACTGTAGTTGTCCGCTAGTAAAAATATAGTTTTATCAGTCATTATCCGTGTATGCCATTGTTTTGCGGTTACTACAGTTCAGTGGATCAGGAGGCGCTGGCTGGTGTGTCTGAGTGGAGGCGGGATCATTTACATATTCATAGATCCGCGTATAGTAAATGAGGCAAGGGTGTAGAGTTACATTCAAGCTATTTTAAGGCATGAGAAAATTATTTTCACAAGAAAAAACATTAAATATGTAATTTTGATGATCAAAGATGCGTTTTAAGGGATAAAATATTTGAATACAGGGGGACTTTAAATGAATCATTCAAAACAGTTTAACAGTGTGATCCGGTTCAACATATTCAAAAGATTCAAATCAAGAACGATTCGTTCATCGCTAACTCGAATCGTGGACAGCTAGAAACTCGGTATTAGTTAGAGCAGTTTATTTTCGGTGCAGTTATATGACATATACTGCGCATATTTGCCCCCGACTGCACAAAAGTAGTGATTTCTTCAGAGAGCATGGCGGCTTCACTCAGTTGTTCTGCTGGCTTTGTTCTCGGCATGGATCTGGGAACCACGTCAGTCAAAGACAGTCACAGATAGCAGCAGTTTCGCTACATACTCTGATATCAGCAGCACCCCAGACACACATGTAGGTAACAGCACTTTGATTAAAGCGGTGGCAGTCAAAAGATACACCATACTGAGAAATTATCCTCTCTCTGTCTCATTCTCTCTTTTTTTAAAAGTTATATTTACATTTTATAATTAATAATTAACTTGTAACAACGTACAAACCCCCTGCAGTTCCTTCACGAACATGTTTGGGAAACCCTAATGTTGTTGATAAATTTTCTTTCTCTTTGAATGTTTATATCAATATGAAACAAGATTATCCTATTTAAATCAATGTGTTAAACGAGTTAGGTTAAAAGTAATCTAAAAGTAATCAGATTATATTATCTAAATGTGTAATGTAATAAATGACGTTACTAATTACAATTTTCATAATGTAATAACGGACTTTGTAAGTAATCTACCCAGTATATGTGTGGCACTTTTTGTGAGTGTTGTTTAATGTGCTTTTTGAAACACACTTTTAATTTATTGTTGATAATAGGCAAAAGAGCAGGATCCTGCACTAATAATCGCCGCCCTGGACCAATGCATGGATGCTTTACCTAAAGACAAGATGAAAAAAGTCAAGTGCATTGGAGTATGTGGACAAATGCATGGCATTGTGTTGTGGAAATCTAAATAAGGTTAACATTGAACAACTACTGAAAGCATGTTTGATGCTTTCTGGCATTGTGGTGTGGCACTGTGGTGAAGGCACTCATCTTTAATCATGAATAAATAATTCGGATGGTATCAATAATTATACTCTCATCCATCTCTCTGTTAGGCTGTGAATGGCTGAGTGAAGATGAAATCATTAGATTCATTCCTAAAGACGTCAGTCAGCTGATCACCTGGCAGGATGGGCGCTGCAGTGCTGACTTCCTGTCTTCCTTACCCAAACCAGATTCCCACCTGAGCGTGGCCACTGGCTTTGGTTGTGCCACCATCTTCTGGTACATGAAACACAGGTAGAATTCCACTCAAGATTTCAGACTAAATTATTTAAGAAAAAAATGTAATTGTTCTGCACTGAATTTGTGTTTTTCTTTATGATACGTCACTGAATCAGGCCGGAGTTCCTGTCAGGTTTCAGTGATGCAGGCACCATCCAAGACTATGTGGTTTCCATGCTGTGTAGCCTTGACAAATGTGTCATGACTGGACAAAATGCTGCCAGCTGGGGCTACTTCAACACAACCAGCAACAAATGGAACACACAAATGTGAGTCAAGGGAGATATTATATTTGTTTTAAGGCCACTTTACACTAAGAACAATAACTAGAAAATAACTATATTAGCATCCAACAGATGATAATGTTCAGTTTATTATAAGGCATGCAGAGTTGTGTATTCTGCTGCTTTAAATGTTCGAGCTCTTTAGATTCTGATCAACTGTCAATGTTTTATTATTCATTTGCATTCTCAGAGTGATTCTAACATTACTGTTCATCTGTGTCATTAGCGTTGTAGTTGTAATTCTCATAGAAGTAGAACTATTATTAAAACTATAGTTATACAGGGGTTGGACAAAATAATGTGAACACCCTCTATTTTAGGGGTTAATATAATTTGTGTAGGCTACAGTGAAAAAGCAAACATTGTGATTATCTTTTTGTTGTCTATATTTTCTAGTTTGTAAATCAGTGTAGTACTAGTTGTTCAGCAGTGTCTAGTATATGCTGTGCATGAAATGGGTGACATGTCGGACTTCATGGGATCCTGTTTAGCAGGAGTGTCTGAAGAACTTAATGGCCCAGTTGTTGGGTGTTTTAAGAACAACAGTCTTTATGACTGAGTACACAAAGCATGGCAAGACTTTATCAGTGAAGAAGAATAGTGGGCAAAAAACAAAAGTGAATGACTGGGTCCATCAAACACTAAGAAGGATTATTGCAGCAAAGTGACAGCAAACCTCAATATTCACCTTAAGCACCCTGTTTCCACAAAAAAACAGATCATAGAGAACTTTACAAAGCCAACATCCATGAAAGAGCTGCAATTGCTAAAACTTTATTCACAGACACTAATGCTAAAATACAAAAACGTTTGTGTCATAGTCATGAAACCTAGACAACTGGAGCACCAAAATGAACTTCAACATCTACCCAGGCACCTCAACCACCTGACGTGAAGATTATCAAACCACTGTGGGCAAATTTAGAGAGATATGTGAAAAGCAGATTCTCTCCTTTAACATCTCTAAATCAGCTGGCAGATGTTCTGATAGATGACATTCAGCTGGAGACTATTCAGACGTATAAATCTATTCTAATAAGGTTTGAGTCTGTATTAAAGGCAAACGGTGGTGAAACACCTTAATAATAAAATATTGCCAATTTCCTAGTTGTTCACATTATTTTGTCCAACCCCTGTAGTTATCAATAGTTATCATCTTTGGTGTGAACGGGCCTTTAGTCTTGACATGGGAAT